GAATATCTGTCTCCCATCCTTCCATGCATTAGGTTTTGGCATGTACTCATAATGCATGCCTGGATTCACCGCTTTGATTGCATTGAAAAGAACTGGCAGCTGCTCATACCCATCCTCTCAGTCCCCATATATCATCTTCCACACTCGCTGCTTAGCCCTCCATGCTTTACCATAAGTTATCACATATCCTCCATACAATGCTTCAACGGTCCTGATAATTGTCCTCACCTTCATATTGGGTTCTCCCTGTAAAATTCCCATCAAATCGCTTGGCAATGAGGGTAGATGTCAACTGTCAATGCCTCAGTGTCAGCTCATGGTCAGCACAATTGTGTGGCCCGACAACTTTTGTGATCTTCCATTTTTCGATTACCTGTTGCTTCCTTGCACAAACCCTCCATGGGCAGCGTTCCTTGTCACACACAACCGTGTAACGATGCTCCGCATATGAATGCAATACCCTGTAAGGCCTCTTTCGTATCACTGCAAAAGCCTGCAACCACCTCTTCAGAGCAGGGAGGTCACTGAACACCCTCCCATTCTCAATTACCATGTTAGGATCGGCCTCAGGAGCTTCTAGGAGCTCATCATCATGTCCTTCTGCAAACGCCTGATCGGAGTGAGCAAGATCTCTGAACTCGTAAACTCTAGGATCACGGCGGCCAGGAAAGATACGCCTCATCATCTCAACATCACTCTCCGTCAGCTCTCCAGCAGGGCGATCATCATCAAAATCAAGAGCCCTAGCCATCTCATATGGCTCCAAATCATGCATAATTTCAACACTATTTGACCCATGAAATCCATCTCCAAAGTGCACTTGCGCAGCAACAGGGGGCACATCCACATTCTCAGGAATGTCTCCTGCAACATCATTACAGAAATGAGGAAAGAATGAAAGAAATAGATGTAAGGAACAGGGTAAGCTCCCAAAAACCATGCGGTTAAGACACTTACTCGGATGATTCTGTGTCAAAGGGATCTCATAAGGAGGATCTGCCACAGAAAAATGAGTCTGACAACCATCTCCAAATATCGCATTGGGGGCAGATTGAGCATCGGGAACCGTAGGTGCAATCTGCACATGCAGGTAAGGTTCCGGAACGGGAGGGTCGATGTATGCCTGATGATCCATTGCTGGGGTAAACCCATGAGGGATGGGATCAACTAACACCCGACGCACAACCACGTCCAAACATTGCAGCTAGCTCTTCATAGCCGATCTTACATAGTTCTCCCACTGATCCGCACAACCAATTGAGATCATTCGCCTGAAGATGTTCAGAGGACAACCTAGGTGTAGTACACCATCAACTGCAATGCCATCATCTCCAAGGCAATGCAGCTCCTCCCGAGCCCTTGCAACCATATCACTAAATGAAGGCCTATCATTGAATAGCACAGGCACGCTTTGCATGTCAAGAAACTCAACATATCAATAGCGATCGCTTTCAACGGTGCCTCCATGATATATGGTCACTAGGTTGTCCATCTAATTCAAACACGTAACGAAACACATGCCCTTTAGTCCAAATTAGACGATAGATAGTACCCAACAAGTACTTTCTAACTACAAACTAAGTAATCAAGATAATAACTACGTATATATTTACAGTATACTCACTAAATAGCTAGATCATATGTAGATAACTAAAATTGTAACTACATATTTAAGTAGCTATCTAACTATATCTATGTGCCTATGTGTCTATGTTTCTATCTATCTACATATATATCTCACTAGATCACTAACTAAATCAACTACCTGAGTCATCACATTCACTAATAAATAACAAATGCCAACTAAGTAGGTACATTGCATATTCATAATTTTTACCTTTCCGGGCCGGCGGACGATGGGCGTGGGTCAGGCCGAAGATCCGGGCTGTCGGTGGCGCGGCCGACGACAGCGGTGGCGCATGGTGGACGTGGGATGCTCGGGGCTACGCGCGGCGAGTCCGGCTCTACGGGAGCGGGAGGCACGCCGGCGGTGGACGGCGGCAAGGTGGGACGAGGCTGGCGGTGGAGGGCGGCAAGTCAGGCCGCAGCCGAGGCCGACGGTGGAGGGCAAGGCGAGGGGCGCGGTGCGGGGCGGGGGGCGGCCTCGGGGCGCGCGCGGGCGCGGGCGCGGGAGCAGGCGCAGCGGCTCGGGCTCGGGGCGGCGCGGGCACGGCGCGAGCGCGAGCACAGCGCGGGCGCGGCGTGGGGCGGCGGCGCGGACTCAGCGGGGCAAGCGCGGCATGGCGCGGGAGCGGGCGCGGGCGGGGAGCGGCACAGGCCCGGGCGCGGGCGCGGCGGGGGCGCGGGCAAGGGCGGTGGCAGTGCTCGGCGAGAGAGGGAGAAGAAGAGAGGAAAGGCGCGGGCCCGTTAGATATTTCCGGGCTCGACGCCAGAGTGACTGGCGCCGAGCTCAGCACCAAGATCTACGGCGTCAGTCACTCTGGCGCCGAGCCCCTGATAGGTCAAAAACCCGTGCCCATGAGCTCGGCGCCAGCATCAATGGCGCCGAGGTAAGGGTCCATTTTCTGAATTCTTTCCGTCATGGGTCTATTTGTGAGAAACTTTCAAAAAAGGGCCAAATTGTAAAAAATTCGGGCCGTTGGAGCCTGTCAATGGTGTAATGTCACCCATCTTGATCATACCCGTCACAAAATCTGCGAAAAACGTGCTCTGGCTACCAACATAAGATTGGGCCAGCGCGTCGGTGGCTCCGCCATTGAAGAGCTCTTGGTCAGAGTGTAGAAGCCCCTTCTTGCTAAGAAGGTTCTTGTAGTAGTTGTTCTCGAAGACGGTAGGGGTTTGAAGGTCCAATGGTGCCAGGTTGTTGTCACCTGCACCTGAGATGCTTGGGCAGCCTGATTGCCTTGTTTTTGCAAAGGCAGCGTCAATGTCGGTGTCATTATATATGTGGGCTCTGAAGTTGGTGCAACGTGCTAGCCCAATGGTGTGAGCACCTGGCAAAATTATGAGAGGCAAATGAATGAACAAAGACAGAAGGAAATAAAATAATGACACATTATTATTAATCAAGTAGTATTGAAAAGTATATAGAGAAGAATTGACTGATTGACCAATTTATTTATTTATTTATTTTTAACAAGGAGATTGGTGACTTTACTCAAATAAATTAGAGCATAAAAACATTTTAAATTTTAAATAAACAAGTGGTTATTAACCTTGTGTAATAAATCTATCTATACATAATAATAAGAAGGAAAAAGAGTATCCGATTCTAGTTATGAAGCGACACAAAAGGAACATTATGTGTGGCTGTAGTTGTAGTTAATTGCAATCTAGCTGGGAAAGATGTCGACCGATCGACTTTATATCGATGTATATATGCTTATTGCTTTTCGTATTCCATCTGATTAATTAAGATATCGATCTGACGCAAACTGATCTTTCAACTAGACAGAGAGAGTTGGTTGAGCATTATCATCGCCGGGTTTATAACATGCAAAAACATAAAGTAAAGCTTTTGCACGCACAATTGTATTAGTTTCTTCTGCAAACTCATACCGACAACCTTCGGGTGTCACAGTCACCTTTACCAACGTTTTGCCACTCAATTCAATCTCGATGCCTATTTTTTTACCAACTAACATGACGTGCATATATGCATGTGATATGTATGTTATGTGAAGAAGGTTAAGTCAAAAACTGAGCTGCCAGACTACCTGGGGGGTCTCAGGCAAAACGTCCTTCACCTCTGCTGCAACCCGGAGCTAACACGAGCACTCGTGTCACGTAACTACCGGACCACGCTGGACAGACACCCTATCTGCAACCAGATCAGGGTTACACCTGTCGAGGTAACCTACCCAAGCACTCGTGTCGGTCGTCTTGCTTTGCATGCATTTTCTTTACTTTTTTTGCTTGATTTTAGGAGGACGCTCATCAACGTCCACTGTTTAATTCATGATGAGGATCGGATCCACGACCATTCTACTAGGCACACGCATCAGTTGGATTCCACGCGATAAACACATGATGGTCAACAGTATTCAGCTCGCCGTACCAGGCCATACGTACGTTAAAAGATACTCTATAGCATATATTGTGATTTGTGAATATCTATCTCGGAAGGAAGGAATTTTGTACACGTACGGTTATTCTCTGGGCATCTCAGCTGATGATTAAATCATTTTGCTCATTTTTTATAGGACTAGACTAGATGAACCAGCGGGTTTAAGAGTGTATTGGCGTGTGTGTGTGGTGTAAGATGTGTTGTACGTTCAGACTACAACTTGTACTATGAGACTACAACTTGTACCACGAGAATAAAGGCCTCAAAAAAATCATTGTTGCCTCCGTGGAGCTGAACACTTGCAAAGAAACTTCAGCATTCTAGATTCTACACTAGTTCAATTGTACTACGTACACTCAACCCAGCATCATCCATACAGACATTTTCCGTAACGTTAATCGTGCTACGCCACGGCAATTGTAATAGCTTTGCCAACACAAGCGCACACCCGACTCCACGATTAAAATCGCAAGAGAAAACTTTTACCAGAAACAGGCACACTACAAAAACATCTATCCAGAGCAGCTAGTTCGAAACAGACGAAAGATCGAGCTATTAGTGCTGTCTTAGGCTCCGTTCGGATGGTATGAAAACCATCCGGTTCTCACGGTACACGGATGGTTTTCACTGTTCACGCTCTCACAAATTTCTCCAAATTCATCCAAACGAACAAGTCTTTTACTAGTATATACTACAGCTGAGGGTTTCCCTAGTCATGCGATCTCAGTACCTGGTTACCTGCCATACTTTTTATGCTACAAGTCTACAACTAGAAGCTTGGAACATCACTGGCCTATATATTGTATTGAGGCATTCACCAGTGCTCACCAAGGTACACTGGTTTGCCCCCGTGTTACAAGCAGAGCTATCTATACATTGCTACTACCGTACCTTAGTCGTAAAGGTAATTACAGTAAACTACTGCTGTACAGAAAAGGCCACGTATGCTGGGAAGACCTTAAGTTCTCAATTCTCACTCCAGCTCAGATTCTGATACTTCCTCCTCCGCCAGTTCAAAGGCATCCACATCTGCAAAGTATGCTCTCTGCTTCTTGACAAATTCTTCTGGTAACTTGGGTGTCCTTGCCAGGGGGCGTTCCTGTTCCCAAAGTAGCAACCGGTCAGAAAGTTAAAAGTAACGGCCATGGTAAGGAGCAGAGCTAGTCTTCGAAATGCAGCTTTAACTGTGCTATAAAACTGCTTCCTTTCAAACATTCGTCTCATCATATTGCTATATGGTGTTTGCATAAATGTTTCTGAATAGATGCACTTATGCAAAGCACAGAAGTGAAACATTAACAGAACACATACTTTATTGCGGGCACAGCTCTATTGGTTAAATACTAGCCCATGATAAAGTTTGGAAAAAATGATGAGTTTGTGATGGTAATCTCATTGTGCAGACCCCTAAAGAGAGCAACGGAACAAGACTTGATAACTGAGAACTCGGGTAGGGTCATTATGAGGAAAAGCAATCAGATTGCGGTCATGCTTACCTTTTTAGCTTCACGACAAGTAGCTGACGAAGAGATGGGCCGAGTATCCTTTTTCCTGAAGATAAGTTTAACAGTTAAGTAAATGAAATGCACTCAGACCGTATCTGTTAGATATCAATGAAATACGATGAACTAAAGGATCCCTAAAGTCCTGGATTCTGAATATCCTATGCTACTGAGTTCTGACACGATATGAAATATATATGGTATGCTTATTCTGTCAGAAATGTGAAAGACCTTACAGCACAACCTCTTCTAGTCTATATCACTATATGTTAGTATACAACAAGCGTTTAAGACATTGAGTATTATAAGAATTCCATCATCTGAAAATAACAAGAAAGTAACGTCATATCAGTCTGGGGCAACCAGGGGCTGAACTCTTGTTACCAAGAAGTGTCTTGGAACTACAGTGATTCTAATGCCCTGCCCTTTTCAAGTAAAGAACTATTAATTCTCTCAGGTAGATTAGGAATGTGCATTACATAAAATTAGGTAAACTTATCATGCTATGGTGTCACTCTGCCCTTTCAAACATTAACTTATCAGATTGCTACAAACAATTAGGAATGCCCATCTTTGAGGTTTCCACACAAAACAAAAACAGGATTAACTGGTCCAAGCTACACGAGAGGTCTCTGGCACCCACAGAAGGGACTATCATTACTCTATCGGTGTCCAAATCACAAACAATTGCACAGCGGAGATATAGTACTAACTGTGAAGTGGTACTGTATTGAATATACCACCAACGCATGACATCAGTCATAGGTAACAAATACGAGTTTCTCACCTGATATTCTTCGTGGATTTTCCAAGAGGCGGGCAACTTGCCGCAGCACCGACAGGTTCCTTGCCCTTGTTGGTGATGGTGGGGTTGATCCGTCCCTCGGCCTCAGCCTCAGCCTCGGTAGTCCTGCGCCTCGCGTAAACCGTGCAGATGGTCGGCGATTCGAAAACGCTCCCCACCTCGTCGAGGACTGCAAACCAAGAGCAGCATTAGAAATCACAGCACAATGATGACAGAAGATGCCACCGCCACACCCAGCTGCGGCGGATCGAGCGCAGATGTGAGATGCAGATTCCCTCACCGGCGGCGAAGGACGGCTTGGGCGCGGGCGTGACCGTGGTGGCGGAGGACGGCTCGAGCGCGGGCGTGGCCGAGGCGGTGGAGGACGGCTTGGGCGCGGCCGTGACCGTGGCGGAGGACGACGGTTGGGGCGCGGGCGTGACCGGGGCGGAGGAGGAAGGCTCGGGCGCGGGCCTGGCCGACGCGGAGGAATATGGCTTGAGTGCCGGCGTGACCGAGGCGGAGGAGGAGCAGGTGGAGGAGACAGCGGAGGCGTCGGAGGGCGCCGGGAGGGGCCGGCGTGCAGTCCTTCGGGGCTTGATCGGGGTCGGGGTCTCGGGGCGGAGGAGGTTGGTGACGTCGCCGAGCGGCACCGCCTTCCGCTGCCGCTTGGCAGCGCTGGTGGAGGGCCTCATCGGATCTCGCCCGCGTGCGGGGAATGGGAGTTGGGGGTTCGGGCTGCGGTGGATTTGGAGGAGAGGGCGGCGGTGAGGATTGAGGAACAGCGGGGAGTGAAGCGACGGAACGTGTGCGAGGCGGAGCAGCGAGAGTTCCAGAAGGGGAAGGGGATCGCACTATGGAAGGCTTGGAGAGACAGAAAGATTGGAGAAGAAGGGGTGTCCGTCCCTCTTGGACTGAGGTGGGCTGGTGACGCTCTTTTGCTCTTTTGGGCTTAATTAGGCCGGTTGTTCCAGCGATTTCACTGACTTTTCTTTATCGGCCACAGAGCACAACCCACGGTCTGGCCTGCGGGTTGGGCTGCTTGCTCGGAGCCTGTGGCACGGCACAAAGAATCGCTGATTTCTCTGCAACTAGTATAATGCCTGTGCTAACGCTACGGATTTTTCTTGAGAATATCTCTTAAAACAATAAAATTATTTTTGCATAGTCTAATGTAAAAACAATTGTACTTGAGTCTACGTATAATTTTCTAATATTATGACCATATAAGTTACATTTTGTCTTACTCCTTAATCATCTCTCGAAGATATTCAGGGATGTTGTCGGAACATTCGTTTGCACGACTCGCCAAAACGTCTGCCAAGAATTCCATCCTCAGTGAAGCTGAGAGCTGTGCATGGTATATAGATTAACAATAAGTTACTGTTTTTCTATGTAGTGTACAATATATAGCTAGAGACTATATATGCTTACATTGTTGATCGGTGGCAATCTTTCGCCGTCCCAGAACTTCATGAAATTGTATACATTTATCTAAACTATTTCCTTACATTTGAAAGGGTATTAAATTAGCATATGTGAAATCTTATCATATCAGCATTTAAATAATTTTGTACCCTTGTTTCAACCATGTCCTCTTTTATCAAGCTCTTGTTCATCTCATATTCCTCTCCCTCTTGTTGTAGTAATTGAGAGAACCACGTATTCTCCAAGTAAACATCTCCACCTTCTCTATGTAGTAGGTGTTCTTCGTGCCGCATCAATTGGATATAAAGACTCATGACCTACAAGTTTTTATTTTGTCATTTCAAGATTGGCAGATATTTCCCATGGACATTAGTTAATGCTGAAGCAAGTGTTAAACATGCTTACCGCGCCATTGACTTGCTCATTCCCAAGAAAAAGACAATCCATGTCATCTCTTGCTCCCAAACAATCATCGATTATGACAAGCAGATGCTTTTTACTTTTTCCTATCATATATTCAATTACCTCAACATCTTGTTGCGTACACGCATAATCTAGAGAGATATTATTTTTTATTAATAATTAATTAATTCCCAAATTTAAAGACATATAGGTTTAAATTGATGGTGGATCACTTGAGGCATGACTTGTACATTGTTTGCTTTCTTTGGCTTATTATACTGAGGCAACACCATCATCTCACTGAGAACATGTATTGGATTTTTATTGGCTTCTAGCCGTGGTGTTTGTACATCATTATCTTTGTACTGTACTTCATTTCCATCCTTTATAATGATCTGCATATGCAATATATAATATCAGTTTTATACGCCATTCTTTTTACATTTAGTATGCAATGGGCCATACGGGTAGAAAATATGAGAGGATATTTGAGTTGCTTGAGAGATTGTTACTTACGTCATCCTCGTGTGCACGCTTCCGCTTCTTGTATCCGTCTTTGGTTTGGACATCTTCATTAGTATAGCCCCGCGATAATCTACCACCACGGGCACCCCCCTCGGTGGACTGCCGACTATATTTCGTCGACAGTGGCGCGCCAGGTAGGGGTCCCCTTTAGGGGTTGTGCGTGCTGATCTTCCGGCAAATCAGATGGGAATCTTCAATATCAACGGCATGTTCTCGACGACGACCTCGTACATCCAGTCGCTCACATAAGTCATCGTCGTCGGGAAGGTGCTCCTACACAAGTAGGCATACAACATCGTTCGATCTCGGGCGGTTGTACGGGAGTTGCTTCATCATGTTCACGAGTCAGATTGGACTCACAACGTCAAAACACAACGACCACGTCAAAAAGCTGCATAACGGATCCAATCTACATCACCATGCATGCTTAATGACGACGCAAGAAGCTTGTTGGGACGTTTATACATACATGATTTTGTACCTTTGCATCAACCTACAAGCAGCGACATGTCACGTCTCTGTGCACGACTCTTTGTGCTCGGGCGACTACACAGGGATCGACTCCGACCAGCTCTGACTACACCCGCTCGACTACGGCGACGCTGCGCACCCACCACGTCGACCACGACCACGTCTCGAGCAGCGCCGCCCCGACCACGTCGACCACGACCCCGTCGACCACATCCTGAGCGGCTCCGCCGATCTCTGACCACGCCGACCACGGACCACATCGACCACGTCCCGAGTGGCTCCGCCGAGCTCCGACCACGTCGACCATAGACCACGCCAACCACGTCCCGAGTGGCTCCGCCGAGTTCCGACCACATCGACCACCAGACCACGTCGCAATGATGATCGCCGTGAAGAACGGCGCTACGACAACCGCGACCACCGTCATGACGACAGGTTGGAAAGCTCGAGGACCGGACAACTTCATCTTCACCGACCAGATTTCTATCCAAAGATAAGTACACTTCTAATATTTATATTTAATGCAATTTTCATTACGACGTTTCTCCACAAACGTCCCCGTCATGATTATTCTTCAAAAAACGTTTGTCCTTGTATACCATCTTAAAGATAACATACAGCTATCTATATTACTACTTTTAGTTTGCGAGTTGTGGTCGGGGACTTCGTCATGATTTATGATTCTGGAAGATGAGTAAAAATAAAATATTATAGTCTAAGCAGACTAAAAGTAGTAATCACACCGTCAATCACCAATTTAGGAGGTCTCTGTAAACTATATTCTTGGTGCTAACGCCATGGCTTCATTTCAGGGATGTACATGTAAACAACCATCATATATTAGAAAAATAAAATGGAAAGGAACGGTCCATTTGCAGAGAAATATATAGAATAAACCATGACAAGGGCAATAACCATTCCTCTCCATATTAATAATTTTCAGATTGTAGAAACTGTCAAAACTAAAATTACCACTCTGCAGTCTGCACTGCACTTTGCTAGGAAGACAACGTAAGAAAAATTGCAATATTTCCAAAGCTTTTTCAGTTCACCAACAAAACATAGCCAGAGCCAATAACTGGAAGTGTCAAATTTGCACACAAATACTTCTTCGTTGCAGTGGACGAACAGGGCGATGCCGAGAAGATCTCCTTTGTGTTTCCTTATTTGTTACAAAAAAATGCTCGATGCTGCCTATGCAAATGGAAGGCGGGGCTCTTCATTTAGACAGGGTGAGAAAATCTGAAATTTGATTTGTGTAGAAATCTAGCTGAATCGAGTTGTCGGGGCTCTGAAGCGTCAGCAGGGAAGTCACACCTGCAAGAGACAGCCAAGCTCAATGCTTATGCTGATGTTAAACCAGCAGTGCCTGGAACAATGCATCTATGGTGCCGACAAAAATAAGGTGGCCATCAAAACCGACATCACACTTATTAGTTCCTGTAAAAAAAATAGTTCAGAAATAGTTTAATGGGGTGGACTGTTCACAATTCAGAAATAGTTGACTGAAAAGATAAAGATGCACAACACTAACATGTTTTTTATGAGCCAACAAACTAACATGACTTTTACATCAGAGATGGCATTCTTCTTACTGCAGTAATCATTGATGTAGAAAATAAACACACATTAGACTGACTCCAACAGGGATACACAAACCCAAAAATAGGTCTCGCACAGTGCTTTGCCTACCAAAAACAACCTCCAACGGCTCACCCAAACACACGACACATTTTGCCTATCAGCCGAGACGTTACGCAAAAAAGCATCCCCTCTCCTCGCTACGCAAAAGCAGCACGCGGCACAGCTCCGGCGGCTCGGCGTCCCCGTCCCTGCCGGCGGCTCCCCAGCCCCTCCTTTTCCTCCTCCACCACCCGCCAGCACCCGCGCGCGCCCTCTCTCCATCCTTCTGCGTCCCTTGTGGTGGTGTGTGAGCTCGCGCCGCCAGCGCCCGGCGGCCGGGGCAGGCGCTTGCCGCTCCGGCGAGTAGCGAGCTCGGACGGTGCTCTGCGGCTTCCTTGGCTGGAGGCTTCGGCAGTGGGATTGAGACCACGTCGAGCATCTCCCGCGGCCGGGTCCTCTGAATGGGCGCCCATGGCGCCTCGGCGGCGTGCCATGAGAAGCCGGCGCCTCTTTTTGCGTTCGCTGTTGGAGTTCGGCATTTTTGGGTGTGGTTTTCTTTTGCTGCGCGTGACCCAAACGGTGAAATTTGGGTCGGCTCTGTTGGAGACAGTCTTAGATACTGATTAAGATAAAAAAATCAATAGATCAGTTAACTTCAATGATACATCAGAAGTCAATTTATACACCAACAGTTTAAATAGTTGTTGGACCATCACTGAACATCACATTTTATTGGCAATAACTCGATTCGAAATAGATCTGGTCTTCATAACAGATTAGAGAATTGCATAGCAAATAGATTGCAGGAATATCTTAACATACCACTTTGGTAAGAGAACAAAGACCTGACATCCAGATTGCAGGAATATCTTAACATACCACTTTGGTAAGAGAACAAAGACCTGACATCCAAAGCGTTGAAAGGCTTGAAGAGCTAATACTGAACAAAACCAAAGCCTGCTACAGCCATCTAACTTAGTATATTGCCCGTGCTAACGCTACGGCAATAAAAACACAATATGTTTATTAAAAATGAAGGAAATAGTGAGATAGATTAAGATTCATGCCAAAAGAGATTCATGATGAGTTATCATATTGTTTAGTCCATAGCAAATATGCTTAAAGAGTAACATTGCAAATAACATCACATCTGCAGCAATCAGGAATTGTTTCAACAAAATTTATGAACTACGTATCAAATAGGAAAAGAGAATAACTACTTTTTTTTTCCTGGAAGCTTGTCATG